TTTTGAAAGTCCTTTTTAAATGCGGGTCATTAAATATTCTTAAATATGTACTGTATAAAACAAATGCTGATATAATTTATTAATAACTGTATCATTTTGTTTTGTTTATTTAACTGATTTAATTAAGATTAAGATTGTTATTTTTGGGATGACAGATATTACATATTTTATAAGTAGTTCAGGTGGGCAGCTGCTTCAGCATGTGTAGGCTGCAAAGAAGAACACCTGAAGAAGGCTTCACAGCCGAAACGTTGTGTTTTCTCTCTTCTCTTTTCAGCAGGGAATAAACCTGTTACTTGTTCCTGTTACATATTCTGTTTCTCTATACAGTGTCAAAGTAATTGTTCATGGCTGTCACTTGGCAACTTAATTTCTAACCTCATTTTAGTTTTTGAAGGTGGTTTTGATGCCTGTCACCTGGGATCCTTCCTTTAACTTTAACTTTAGTACTATTTAACAAGTATGCCTACTGTCTGATTTTGCTTTTGTCTCCCTAACAAATGAAAATAAATTGACAGATCCATATGATAGTGAGTGTTTATCGAGTGTTTCGACAGGCAAGTCAGTTGGTCTCCAGCAGTGCAGTTAGGTTATTGGTCTGCTGGTACAATGAGATGCATTTGCAGTAAAAATCAGTATCAGTGTTCACAGAGCGGCCAATTTCAATTTTAACGATTCATTCTGCAGCTCATTTTCAGCACTCAGAAACTTGTGCCGTGCTAATTTACAAAAAATGTCCTGCCAAATTTGAAATACACGCAGAACATTGGACATGTCATATTCAAAACCATGATGAATAATCAGTTTCATATTGCAGTGTATAATGTTTTTGGCAGATAAATCAGGATAATTCAAGCCCTAGATCTCTTTCTTTGACTAGACTTTTCCCAGTCTAATGTAGAGTTGTTATGACAGATAAATGCTATACTGCATATCTCAACCCCAAGTATCATTGAAGGCATTATTCCAGGTTCAGAACCCTGCAAGTTTTATATCTAATATGTACATCTTCATCTTCTTCATGTGACTTGGAAATAATGTTTGAAATTAAATAGGAATTGGAAAATCCAACACTATAAATCCAGAACCAATTCAAACATAATTCCAAACCTGGCATGGACTTTCCCATGAATAGGCAAGTTTTATTAATTTTGTATTAATGTCATTAATAAGCAGTAATGACACGGGTTGTGGAAATGCATGTGCTTTCAAGATGTGCTGCAATGATTCGTATTAATTAGTGACATTGTGGAGATACAGGGTGTCGGCTACCAAGACACGTACAATTCATATTTGCCAACATCATAGTGTTGTTAAATAAAACCAGGTTAACAGTGAGAATACGAGCTGCATATCAACATTTTTATATAATCCATGATGGATTGTTTGCTGTTTTAACATAGCATGTTAATAATTTAGTTGATTATTAAAAATATATCAAAACTTTTTTTCAACATTGTACTTTGTAACTATCATTCATTAAAACAATATTTAAAAACTACAATTATTTGTTTGTAGATTGTGCAGAGGAGTGTTTTATGTGTAGTTATAGATCAAAACATGAAGATTCTTTACAGTTTAAAGTTCATATAGTATCTCCATGTAATTTTGCGTGGCATACTGTACATTTAAAAGGCTGGAACAGAAGGTGGCAGTAGTCTCCTTCACTGTACAAGTGAAATAGGGTAAATTAGAGTAGTACAGCATATAGTTATAATTAATATTTCAGATAACTCTTCAACTTAAAACCAATGAAAATAAGCAATTGCAAAGTATACGAGTTTACTCATTGATGATATTTTAGTGACCGGTTGAGCAAGAAATGGAAGAAATGCTAAAACTGTATGTTACTGTGACACGATTAAATTCCTGACATGTTTTGGTTTTGTCTGTTCTCTGTGATTTCAGAGCTGCTGGACAGATAGCTTTAACATGACAGAGTTAACATGGTTAAGCTGTCATTAAAGCAGATTAATCATAACAAATGTAATCAGAAGCAGAACTTAGTTGCAATAACAAACCTTTAAATAGGCTGCATTTTATGATTTTAAAAAGTGTTTTTAAGCTTCATTATTTATGGAAAACTAAATAGATTTCACACAATAATTCTTAACAGAGTCTCTTTAATAAAATGACCAATTTATGACAAGCTTGCTTTCTAGTTTGGCTTTGTCTGCTTTAGACTGTTTTGTAAGACTTCCTAGGGCAGTAACCTTTATTTGAATACATTATGAATATACTAGAAAGTGATTTTAAACCATCTCTCAAAATCAGACTCTAGGTGTTTGCTTAATGGTAAGAAACGGCTAAGAGACTAGAAATGGCTGTAACCAGTGGTGTTGTGTTGCCACACAGACAGAAGAGGGCACCCACAATCAGTTATAACAATAAGCAAGCCATAGGTGTCTTCAGAATGCTTGAAACCACAAGTAAATGTACACCAGTGGTTTGTTGCAAATTATTTTTTTAACCAGAAGAGTCCATGCAATTAAACATTTACATTATTAATCTACTTGCTGACACTTCATTATATCACCAGCTTTGAACATTGGACATTGTAAAAATGTTATTTCATTTTGTGCTTTTGACTTGGATAGATTGTAAAGAGTTAATCTGAGTCTTGTACGTCTGTATAGTAAATGTATTTTGTTTTGGAGTTTCTAATTTGACAGTAAGAAGAGAAATAAACCTGATCTCTGCCTGCAAAATCATCACTGAGGAGGAGATTGAAAAGAAGGGGAACATGATATGATTAGAAAATAAATCATGGTCATAAGAACCTAAATACGTTGCTAAAATTTGAGAGTAAGATCTGTGTTCGATCAGTTTCTTACCAGTTGGTCGCTTTTTTATGTTGTCTTAAATTGGTGAGTTAAACAGTGCAGCTTCCTTGACCTACCAGTGCTTTTACACAATTTCCTTGGAAACCTGTCTTTACAGACAAAGGGAGAATCACCATATAATGTAGGTATAGGGAATGTAAAGTAAAATACAGAGGATATCTATTAAGCATCTATATTTCATCCAAGAGGGACTGCATTTCCAATAGCCTGGCTTCAAAAATATACTCTGATCCATTAATCTGTATTTTTCCCTCAAAAGTATTGAATGGCAAATTAAAAATCACTGATTTTTTCCTCATTTTATATGGGATATACAGTATGAATATACAGTATATCTCACATGTAATGAAATGTGAATAATATCGGTTACAGTTTTTAACTGCTCTTAGCACTTTTCGGTTAAAATGCTAGTTACAAATATAGCTCTAAAGTGGCTTTTTAAATTATTATTAAGTTAAATACTACAATACTGCACATACTGTATCTACTGCAACAGTTGTCAACATTCCAGCAAGATGTGTTATTAAGTATTTTGTTAAAAGTAAAAGTATTAAATTAAAAGTAAGTGTATGATTTGATACAAGTACCCATTTTGCTTAATCTTAATTCAAGTGTGTATTTCTAAAAAATTGTGAAATAGGTGTTTCTGTCACAAATAAATTTGTCAGAACCAGTGAGATATGCTGGATCTGGAACTGGTTTGTTTAAGTGTTTCTTGTAGTGTAGCTTGGTTAACAAGCCTGAATACAGAGCTGCACTTAAACATTGGTAAAAGCCTAAATGCTTTAGGGCTAGTGGTTTGAAATACATTGTTTTTGCAAAATAGTGAGCAAGTGCCTGGATTATTGGTTTGGAACCACCAAGTGTCCGTGTTATCAAATCTCCTGAGACACCAAGCTAGAGCTGTTATCATTTTTTGGCAGACTCATTCCACAATGATAGTGTTTTCGTGTGTATAAGCAAGATTAGCACTTTTCTTTTTCAAGTGGGCGGTTTCTCTAAATTCTGAATGAAAACTTAGGTTTGGTATGGTATACAGTATGACAGTACTTTAGGTTCTCCATCTGTTTGTTTTCTGCTGCTTTCAGTTGCACGTAAGTGTGAATAGAAACTATGCTTGAAGCTTAGCGTTTGTACTGTTGATAGCTGTATGACATAGTTCCAGGCACCCCTGTGAGAAATGTTTAAGTGAGCTGAATAAACAAGGGGGCTGATGTTTGTTCTGGCAAATTAAAACAAATATCAGCAGGATACTGTAACCAAAACCTAAGAGATAAATGAGACACTAGGCAGTGTTTAAAAGACTGTGGACGTCAAATATTCTGCCATTTAGATTGTAATGCAGAGTGGGAAAGGCATTGTTTTGACCAGAGGTTTGACCCAGAAGACAATAAGAGTCCATTAATCCTACTTACTCTTGTGTCCCTAATTTCTGTTTCAAATTTTAGTTTAAATACGACTATAGCAAAATGAATGTGTGGAAATGGTCTAAGTTTGCAATTACATTGACTATGTGCAATACAAGAGACATAAAGCTCTCTTTAAGTAGCCCAGCAGCCCCCTAAATAACACAGTGAGAATAGCGTGCATAATTGAGTCAATGTCCCCTTGTGTCACACATTTAAAATCGAAAAGCACCCTCAGGCAGTACTGGAGTTCAGAAGGTCAAGAGCAGGGAGCTTGAAGCATGCAATAGTCAGTCAATGAGCTGGTCTTACCTCAAAGCACTATAACCCAATTAAGCCTGCCAGGGCTGAATGGCTCTGTGTTATCCAGGGTCTGCTCTTTGCTGCTCTCATTGAAATCTGATGGTTTGCCAGTACAGCAGCTCAGATCTGAAAAAACTGCTCATCTCTACCTGCTCGTGAGGATATCAGAGCAGCCTATGTGGTGTAAGGTTTCCTCAGGCAGGTGTTGCATGTCAGTGGACAGCTGGAAGAGACGATAGCTTTGTTCTTGGAAAGGGGGAGAGTGTCAGGGTACCACCGCTACAGCACTGGCCTGAAAGCTGAGTCATATCAGGCAAACTGCAGGGAGCAAGAGAGAGAATCGAGAGAGAGAGAGAAACGGGGAGGGGAGGGGGAGTGCGAACGTGGCTGAGGGAGTGGGCTGTGCCGTCTTCACACAATAAAGACAAGCATTAGAAGCTGAGCTGTCAGCCTTGAGCAGGGTGAAACCAAGGCAGATGGAGCAAGCTCCCCAGAGAGGAAAAGGAGAAGAGACTGAGTGGACAGGGTGTGTGCAGAGAGGAGACTGACGTCGCCACGCTTTGCTTCCGCACAACCAATCAACACTCAGAATTCAAATTATAGCCATTGGCTTGTCATTTCTTTCCATCAGGCTGTTGGGCTCTGAAGAAACCTTCCTCTTCCAAGTGGATATCTGTGTCTTTCTTTTCCTTTCCTCACATATGGAATTGCTTTGTATCCCTGCTGGATTCTGAGTGTCTGTGCTGTGCAATTGGGAGGATATTGGTGGGTTTTCCATTTTGCCTCGTGCTAGCCACTGGTTTGGATATTTTTTGGGTGGTAATATTGACTCAAGTGGGTTACAGGATGAAGCCTATGCAGAGGTTGTTGCAGCTGCCAGTGAATGCGGTGAACTTGGTCAAAACCGCTCAAACACAGGAAGAGGCCAAGAGCCCAGTTTTGACACCAGACAGTGGACAGCAAACATGGTACAATGCGGTGCAACCAGACGAGCTGCGACTCCTGAAGTCCTCCGGAGAGCAGGAAGACCGAGGACCAGAAGAGACCACAACAAACAGCGCCCAGACACAGCCTCTGCGGTAGGGCATACACCACCCGGTTAGCCAGTAACAGCCAAGAAACAGATTTCTGAAGGAAGTCAAGAAACATGGCAAATTGTTTCCTACGTGTGGGTCTACAATAGCTGGTTTGATTTGTCCTTGGTACAATATAGAGTAGTAGGCATATTTTACTCTTTTTATAGGATGAAATTAAAGTATGAAGAAAACTTTAGACTCATTTCTCTTTTGATTGATTTATAATTTCTAAAAGACATCCTCAATTGATTTAAGTGGTTGTATTAATTTTGATGGTTTTCCTCTTGTTTTTATGTTCACTGGTTCTTTACGTAATCAATAATGACTTATAAGTGTTTTATGTGCTGTGCCATTTCAAAGTGTCTAGACCCTAACTAAATGTTAGAGTTAGACACTGCCAAATGTCCACGATCATCATCCTGATAAAGGGCTTCTTATCCTATTGGATTCAAAAAATCTTTTTGATTTGTACAGTATTTAGAAGAACTCAGAAACTTAAAACCTGGAAAATATGAAAATACACTTAGAAAATGAAAGTTATATTACAGGTTGCAGACATTACATGAATTACGGATATTAGGTTAGAGTTTGTTTTTCTAAATGTATATTCTCCTAACTTAAAGCCCTCTGTTCCAGTGCAAAGGTTTTATTCCAAATTTCTCAACAGAAAAACGATGCCCCGTTTCTGTTTAACTTCAATGTCTGTATTGTAAGAGCAAAGGTCTTTACCTTTGCTTACAAAGGTCTTTACTAAGCTTATGTAAAGCTTTTAAAGTTGAAATTGAAAGTATGCATTTAACCCAGGCTGGCAAAGAAATAAAGTTGACAAAGTTAGTTTACTTAATATGTCTTAGTCTGGATACAAGATAAACAGCATGCTCACACACTGAATTTATGTGCTGTATTTCGAAATATCAGCAATATTGTAACATTTTCACATGATTACCTGATAATAATTGTATGCTTATTTATGTATTTATGTTTTTATGTTTAAACTGCCAGTTTTTCAAAACTGAAGGCAAAGAAGACCATAAAATGAATGAGGTGGAAGAGGGAGGAGATTGAAAGAATTCAGTGATCTGTTTCATTCAAACAGAAGGGACCAAAGTTTGCAGCTGTCAATGAGCTCAGCCAATGAAAGGGCAGAACTACAAGTACGTGGGTCAGTGTGACCTACAGTAAATTGTGATAACCCTGTAAGACTGGTGCCATGGAGCTTACTTGATCGTAGGTTACAGAGTGCTTCCCAAGCTGGAGGTGTAAAAAACAAGTGTAGCACAAGTTAAATAATAAACTTTATTTTATATAGCCCCTTTAAAGGTGGCTTCTCAAAGCGCTTTACAGGATGACAATAACAATAAATAAGAAGAATACAACAAT